TATATATATATATATATATATATATATTAGTTATATATATATATATATATATATATATATATATACAATTCGAAAATAGAATTTTATTAAAAAAAGTTGCTCCTTTTGACTTGTTTTAAATTTAAAGTTATAAAATTTTTCACATTTTTTGATTGTACCATTACCAATTACAAGCCATTCTGCCTATTTTATTTATTATTACATCTTGATTAAATTATATATGTTTGTTTATCAAAAATATTTGTATGAAAATCTTAAAATTTTGAGATATAATATTAGAGATATAGAGAGATATAGAAAGATATAGAAAATTATTAAAAATAATTGGGTTGGTCCTTTAATATATGCAATTTCCAAAAAATAAAATTTTAATTTTTAAAAATTAATTTACTTCGAGTTTTCGCCATCTATGTATATTCAATGGAGTTTGAATTTCTTCCTCAAGTGCAGTGACTTTGAGTCTTTCTTTTGCAAGGTCACGATTCAGATAGAAAACTTCCTGACGCAAATCGCTAACATTACAAAGGTTTTTAGTAAGTAATGCTTTCTCAGTTCTAAGCTTCTTTACTTCGAATTTAAGCAATCGAATATCTTCCAACTTTTGATTATACTGCTGTTCACCACGTTGTAATGTTCTATTTAAAACCTGCAAAACATATTTATATAAAACGAAAAGTTTCAGTATAAGTAATAATATATATAAGGACTTCCTTAACATCAAATTGTTTAGTAGAGATAAGAAATAGTACAGAATAAAGTCAGTTGTTAGGAGAAAAGTGAAAGGAAATCAATTGGATGAAAAGGATCATAAAGGTGAAAAGAGAGAATAAACTTATAGAGAGGCTAGAAGAATAGGATGACATCAAAAAATGAGCTTATAGAAAAGTTAGGACATAAGTGCAATGTTACAAAATAAATACATACAAATCAGAAATGCGTTGCATTATAAAAACTGTACATAAAATTAATAATAATGACAATTTCTATATGTAAAAATTAAACCTTTATCCTATTGTATTGAAGACCAAGTTCATCATTTCTTCGGACTAATTGTGTACCAAGTATGTCACGTTCATTCATAACATTATCAATGTCTTTCCGTCGACGTCCGAGGTCTATATCAGCCTGTCGTATTGCAAATCTAAGAGCCTTTTCATTTTTATTTGCCTCCTGAATTTGTTGGCGCAAATTGGATATCTCCACATGAGAAGCTTGTAGATCAATCTTAAGTCCCTCTTTCTCTTTCTCAACTCTCCCTAATACTAAAAAACAATAATTTTTTTATATTTATTACAAATCCTGATTATTTTTTTCTTTTTAGTGGATTATATTAATTATATTGCAGTGTTCTCCGAAAACATATCATTCCAACTATTCGACCGATTATCCGTCGAACGAGAAAAACTCTTTTCATCTCATTTTTTTAAATAAATAAGACGAATAAGAAACAGACGTTTGCGTCAAACATTCACGCTGCCGATTAACATGCAACACTTTTAGACTAAAATATTAAATTGAAGTGGCTTACAGAATTCTTCCTTTATAAGATTGGTTTCTTTCGTCGCAATATCCTCTTTCAATTGCTCGATTTGTTGACTTGTAATCTGCAGTTTGTTTTTTAAATTTCGTATTTCCTCTTGCGCCTCAATTAGATTTCTGCTATATACATTTCGTTCTGCACGCATGGCCTCAAATAAGCTTTGATGCTGACGGTACTTTGTTTCAATGTCTTCCAAACGTTTCTTATAATCGAATATCTCCACCTTTTTTTGTGTGATTTCATTTACACAACTTTCTAGCTGTCAACACGTAAATAAGTTTTGTAATTTAATTTTTCTTTATGCTTTTGTTTTCCAAAGATAATTAATTATTATAAAGGTGGCTAAACAGAAGCGGGGAGCATTGAAGCTGGCGCTGTGAGACGGAAGAAGGTGGCGCGAAAGCAAAAGACGAAGACTAGGATGCCATAAGCTGTTTGACAGCTCGTGACGCGAACACGTGTGTACGCCCGCGCTTCCGAACCATCACGCTAACAGCAGTCGCGAGTCAATCGTCCGACCGATCTTTCAATTATACAACGAAATATTCTCGTTGAATGTTCGATTCTCGCGGCCGTAGCGACACAACATAAGCTGTTTATTATATTTTCTCCCATTTTAATATGATCCCTAGAACTAGCAATACCCAAAAGTTTTTTTTTTCACATATTTCCAATGTCTCGTAGATAGTTTATACTTTACCTGCTGCTCCAATCCTTGCACTGCCGAGCTGTATTTGTCTCTTTCCTTTTCCACAACTTGCATTTGCTTCTTCGTGTTGTCAATGATTTCTGTTAGTATATCTAGTTCGCTTTTGATCTTCTTCTTGCTATGTCCGCACAACAGAAGCTCGTGATTCAGTCGTTTGATTCGCTCGTAGGCGTTTTCTTTGCTGCGGATAATAGCATTCTTCTCTCGCAATAAAATGTCGATCCATTGCTTATTCTCAAGCTTTTCCTTATGACAAATTTGAACCTTGTATTCCGCATTCTTCACATTAATTAGACTTTGTTTTAATTCCTGTTCTAGCCTAGTTCGCTCGGATTCGCATTTCAACAATCGCTTATCCGTCAGATCCTTCTCACGCTTACACTTTGCGCTATCCTCCCTTGTTCTAAGACATATTTCATTTATATTTAACTCACATAAAGGACATTGTTTTTTTAAACTTCATATTATGTTTCTACAACAGAAAAGAATACGGATAAATTTCAACAAACAGGATCTTAAGTATCTAATAATTTCTTTTTTATTTTATATATATATATATATATATATTATTTCATTAGGTTGTAACGGTCATGCCATTACTGAGCTTCGCGGGTTAAACACCCGTCCACGAGGCCGGCACATCCGCATCACCATTCGAATAGGAAAAATTACAGGCCACGCTACAAATGCGTGATAACGCGTTTGACGGATTCCGCCAGGCCTACCAGGGGAATTTTCCACTCCGGTACCCGGTCCGGTAAGAGTCACCGGCCGGATATATAAGCCGACTCGTCACTGACTCGGCACTTGGTCCCGGTCCCGATTTTAAAAAATAAAAATGATTATTAGTTACATAAAATCCTATTTATTGAGTTTTGCCCATATTTCTTTCTGTTATTTTAATGTATTTTTGGCCTATATGCATGAAATTGAATTATTATTAATGTTCTTATAATATGCGCGCGAGTTTCTTTTATTACCTGCTTAGCTCATGCTTGATGTCCTTTATCTGTTTTTCTTTATCAGAAAGCTCTTTTTCTAGTTTCTCTGTCTCAACGATAGTATTATTGAGATCTGTTTGCAAATTCTTTTTTTTTAATATGAGCTTGTTGATTTCCGTTTGCATCTTTTCATTAGCTAGTTTTTGATCCTTTATCAAACCTTCCAGTTTTGTCAGATTATTTACATTGATTTCAATAGCTGTCTTTGAAATCTACATTCATTTCATTTCTTAGTATTTTTATTCAATGTTGATTATAAATTCAATAGAATAAATTAAATCATAAATAATTTTCACTACATTTAAAGGATATTAATCTAAGCTTATATATGGATGTATTTTAATTTTGACTCTCGAATATCTTGTAAGTAATAAGTTTCATAAAAAATACTTCTAATAAATATAGTAAGATTTCAAGGGAGTTAATATAATTATATAATTATGATATTGATATATTAGATAATGCCACTGTCAATATTTTCTATGAACATTATTTTTAAGTAAAGTTATATAATTTTTACATAATATAATTTACATAATATTCTTCTAATTATCCTGGGTATAAAAATATTAAGATATAAATATCAAGCTAAATATTAGAATATGAGTTTATGAGATATTTTATATTTTATTCAGGGTTAGGAAAGTTATTTTCTAAAAGGTACTCATTACCGAATTAAAAGTAACTAGTTATCGTTACTAGTTATTAGTTTCTGAATAGTAATTTATTATCATTATCATTACTTAAAAAATTAAAAATTATTAATTTAAAATATATAATGCAATAGTATACACAATTATTTACAAATAGAGATGAATTTTTGTCCAACTTTTTTCTCAAATTGTAATTATGATAAATATTTGCAAGCATTTTACCTCGAGTTCATTGTTCTTTATAGTGATCTCTTCCTGAAGCTGTCGCACCTCTGTTTCTGCTCTTTCTCGGACTCTTTTCTCTCGTGAGATTTCGTTTAACTGTATACTGATAGTTTCCTGCATTTCTATCATCTGTTGATCAATTTCGCTACTCTTTTTTTCAAGTTCTTGTATATAAGCAGACATGTTTTTTATACGTTGTTGCATGGTCTCTATCTCACCAATGAGTTTTTCTCTTTCCTTCAATAAATTTTCCTTTTGCTTACTAACGGTTATACTGTAATTTAAAATTTTTAAAAATTTTTAATAAATCTATAAAAACAAGCAAAATGTTAAAAAAATGTTTTGAAAATGTATATTCTCATTCTAAGTACGACTTAGATCACTTGACAGAAAATACATAAAAAAGTAAAAGAAAAGAAAGGGAAAATAAGAATATGTTGTATTGCCGAAGTATTTGTATCAATTTTAAAGTCCTATTATTATTTATATCAATTTCGATTTAATTTCAATTCTGTCTTGTAAGTTTTTTTAATTATTATTTATATCAATTTCGATTTAATTTCAATTCTGTCTTGTAAGATTTTTAAATTATTTTTCATATAAATAGATATTAATTTCATAAATTCACTCTTTCTCAATTGCTAGTTGTTTATTTTTTTGTTCGAGCTCCAGACCCAATTTCGTAACATTCAATCGCAAATTCTCAATCATCTCCTGTGCATCCTGTTCGCGTGCATGTATCGCATCTGCTAGTTTCGTTGTTTTAGTAACTTCTTTTTTCAAATTAATTATCTCATCTTCATAGGCATCGATTGTTTTTTTCAACTCGTACATTTTATATGTGTTATCCATAATTTCATTCTAAAACGGCAATATATCATAAAACAAAATTTAAAAATAAACAGGAAGAAAAATTATTTTCTTGTGCAGTATAATGCAATTTAATTTTACCTTGAGTAAAGTACATTGATCCGATAATTCTTTTTCATTTCTGTGTGCCTTATAAAGAGATTCATAAAGTCTCGTATATTCAGCCTTGAATGCAGCCAGTGTTTCATTGGCATTCATTTCGTTTATTATCTAAATAAGTAAAATAAATGCATTTTTAATTGAAATACTAATTGAAATAGTAATTAATAATAATAGACTGAATGAATTCAAAGAACTCAAATAAAATTTTTAACAATAAGCAATAATAAAAATTCTAAGTGAAATTATTGTAGAAAAAATTGTGAGGATTTTTAAAATAAACAATTAAAATTTTACAATATTATTTTGTACTTTATCATTGAGAAGCAAGCATTATTTTAGTAATAATTCTTTTAAAATTTGTTTAAGATTTAATTTGCACTTTGCATAACTCTTTAAAAAGAAAATAAATGTGTAACAACATTAAAATATACTTTATTATTAGACTATTATTAAACTGTACATAACTGTACATAATATTAAAATGTATTATACATACATATTATTATTGTATTATAACTAGGATTGTGAAATAACATATTATTTGTAAGGAAATTACAGTTAGTGACTTCTTTTTCAATAATTATAACTTAACTTTCCTTCCACTTATAACTGCACTTAATTTAATTATATTCTTTTAGTTTAATTATATTCTTAGTAATAACTAATAATTAACTCAGTAATTACTTTTATTGTTACTTTATATATTTTA